CTCCACTGCCACCCCCGCCTCCACCGCCACCCCCGTCTCCACCTCCACCTCCCCCACCAGGACCGTCGCTCCCACCGCTCCCACCGCCTCCTCCGCTACCACCCCCGCCGCCACCTCCGCCTCCACCGCCGCCACCAGTACCTCCACTCCCGCCACCACCCCCACCGCCACCCCCACTCCCCCCGCCACCCCCACCGCCTCCTCCACCGCCCCCTCTAGCCCCACCCGCTCCCTTGCCCCCCTTGCCCTTGCCAGCGCGGCGTCTGCCGCTGGGGGCAGACGCCGCGCCGACCGACTCAAAACCAGTGAGGTCGGCCGCAGCGGCAGAGGCGACAGAGGGCAGCAGGGGGGAAGGACCACACCCCTCAAAGATGGGGGTGCGAGGGTCACCCCGAGAGGCCCCTACAGCAACAATACTCTTCTCAGCTGCTAGCAGGGACTCCTCAAGGAGGTCGACAGTGAGAGTGGTGGGACAGACAGAGAGAAACTGGTCCCTAACGACATGAAGGGACTCAGGGAGACGGGTGACGAGAAAGTAGAGAGTGATGTACATGGGAGGAGGGTTCGCAGCGCGGAACTCAGCAGGAAGGGCAGCGCGGTAGCGGGTGTCACTAGCACGGAGGTGGGTAACGAGGTCAGCGACAGTGGGAAAGGAAGCGAGGTCAGGGAAGAGAAACGGTAGCATGAGGCGGCTAAGGGTAGCGGAGGAAGGGGAGGAGTAGCGTGCAACTACAGCGTCGTACAAGGCCTGAGCGGTCTTGCACTGACTAAAGTGGGCACGCTCAGAGGAAGGGAGGTGGCGACGCACAGCAAGACGTGCAGCAGCATCGCGGGTCGCCCACTTGGAGCGAACGGCAAAGTCAGCATCAGCAGGTGGGGCAGGGACAGCGCCAGAGACAAAGTCAAAGAGAGAGACCTCATCTATCGCATCACACAGTAAGTACAGCTGCAGGTCTTCAATCCAGACGGCAAAGTCAATGGCCCTCCCCTCAGCGTCAAAGGTAAGAACATTGGGGGTGGCCATGACAGCAGCTGAAAATCTCACCGGGCTGGGAGAGGCGGGTAGGTCAGCAGCAGAGGAACAGCAGCACGGCTCCGCAGGCGGCTCAGGCGGCGCGGGCCGCTCGGGCGGCACGACGGCGGCTCGGGCGGCGGCTCGGCGGCGGCTCGGCGGCGGCTCGGCGGCGGCTCGGCGGCGGCTCAGGCGGCGGCGGCTCGGCGGCGGCTCGGCTGCTGCTGGGCGGCGCGGGCGGCTCGGGCGTCACGGGCGGCTCGGCGGCGGCTCGGGCGGCTCGGCGGCGGCTCGGCGGCGGCTCGGCGGCGGCTCGGCGACGGCTCGGCGGCGGCTCGGCGGCGGCTCAGGCGGCGGCGGCTGCTGCTGGGCGGATCGGCGGGGCCGCGTAGCAGAGTGGCGGCGGGGCCGCGACCGAAGAGAGCGGCGGGGCCGCGTAGCAGAGGGCGGCGGGGCCGCGTAGCAGAGGGCGGCGGGGCCGCGTAGCAGAGGGCGGCGGGGCCGCGACCGAAGAGAGCGGCGGGGCCGCGTAGCAGGGGGCGGCGGGGCCGCGTAGCAGAGGGCGGCGGGGCCGCGTAGCAGAGGGCGGCGGGGCCGCGATCGAAGGGCGGCGGGGCCGCGTAGCAGAGGGCGGCGGGGCCGCGTAGCAGAGGGCGGCGGGGTCGCGTGGCAAAGGGCGGCGGGGCCGCGATCGAAAGGCGGCGGGGCCGCGTAGCAGAGGGCGGCGGGGCCGCGTAGCAGAGGGCGGCGGGGCCGCGAGGCAGAGGGCGGCGGGGCCGCGAGGCAGAGGGCGGCGGGGCCGCGTAGCCGAGGGCGGCGGGGCCGCGATCGAAGGGCGGCGGCGGGGCCGCGTAGCAGAGGGCGGCGGGGCCGCGATCGAAGGGCGGCGGGGCCGCTAGGGAAGGGCGGCGGAGCCGCGAGGGGAAGGGCGGCGCAACGGTCCGCTAGGGGCGACACGACGGGTCGCTAAAAAAAAACGCGCCTCGGGGCGCGGTTCGGTGGGCCCTAGAAGCAGTCCCTAGGAGGGAACCTGCTCTGATTCCATGTGAAAACAAAGAACGAGAATGAGAATGACTATGAACGAAGTGAGTACAAATAGGAAACCCTAATTGGGTTGTACCCCCTATGGGATACCCCACTATAGCCTACAGAAACAAGTAAGCTATAAGTTCTGACAAAACGAACACGCTGAGCAACCTCGTTCTTCACGGACACATCATACCGCTCCTCGGGATCATCACTGAGGTACCCGTCATCGTCCTCTTCGTCATCCATAGATTAAACAGTCGTCGTAACATGACGCTTCTCCTGATTATCATTGCTGCCTCCCGCACCATATGCAGGTACAGGCTTATCAGCACCATCCGTAGAAGCCGCCGTTGCAGCAGGGATCGCTGATCCCATCAAACTCCGTGCAGCCTCCTGCACACGCTGCGCCGTCACTCCCGGCTGAAGCGCGTCCTTGTCCGTCTCTGTAAACAAGTCCGACGTACGTTTGACAGACGAAGATGCTGAAGCGTCAACTGCAGCAGACACCTCCTTAGCCTTGTCTAGAGCATTACCAGCCAAAGTGTCCGTGTGACGAACCCCTCCATTCCTGGTCGTCATCCTGGACATAGTGCGATGATGACAAGGCGGAATCTGAAAACCACTCTGTGGTGAAAGCCAAAGTCTGAGCACTGAGCCAGCACCACCATTGTCGTTGCTTAAATCCTTGAACTTGAAACACCGAGAGGATGTGGTGCTAGAAAGTAGCTTGCTCCCCGAATCTTGTAGTAGATAGCAAGCCAATAAAGGCGCTTGAAACAGCCCGAAACGGGAGCCTTGGTGATAATGCAATGAACAGGTGTCAACCCTTGACCTTGCCGCTCTGATCAGCCATGGAAACTGTCGCGAGACCTTGGTGTTAGTGACTGTCACGGAAAACAGACCCCTTGAGACAAAAGATACAATGTCCGTATGTTGGACACAAGAAGTGTATCTTAAGCTTCGTAACAGTAAGGCGGTTCCGAATCTGTGAACATTGTGACCAACTAATACGTGGTCTTCACAAACGAGCTCCTTAAAGCCGTCAGGCGGAATCCTTGGCGGAGCTGTCATTGTCTATTCTCGCGGTAGAGCCAGCTGTCTGCCTCACCTTGGTCATTCACCTTTCAAAAGAACATTCAAAAGGTGATAGCACATACATCTTATGTACATCAATGAGTAGGATCTTCAATCAATTAGGTTCTTTCACGTTTTGATGTTTCCCTTTGATAAGTTTTAGCTGCCTCGATATTGTGCCGCTGTACGCGACTCGGCAGGGTGGGTTGGGTTGGGTGTCACCCACACGCCGTTTCTGTTGCAACGCAATGCAACTGTGCAACTGCAGACTGGAACGCGCTTCCTCTCCTTTCCCTCCTGACCTAACTCCTCCCCCTCCGCCTTCCGGTTTCGCCACATGCTTTCGCCACATGCATTCGCCAGCGATGTTACGCTTGAGACTTTCTTGCTGGGTTTCTACTGCATTGCGGTTCTGGTTCTGGTCATCGAGAATTCCCATGGCTGTGCAAGTACACGCGCCGCACTCACTCCACAATCAAGTTTACACACGGACGTGACGGACAGGCGACGCTGCTGCGGCGAAGAGCAGCGTTCGATGGTTTTCCTGCTGCTCAAGTCCCCGAAATTCCTCGGTCATTAGCATCCGTTTCTCAGACATTCGCTTGTCGGTCGTAGGACCGAGGCAGGCGCATGTCGATCAATGGACGAGCGTCGGCTTATTTTGTTTCCGTCGTTTCATTAACGAAATCTCAGCGATCGATACAAGCACATCAGTTCCTATTCAGTACTGACGGCCATGGGCCTTTTTACGTTCCTCTTCGGAGAGGACGCCGACGGGTTGGGAGCAGCCATTACCCGCTGGACCATCGAGGTTCGTCGCGTTTCCGTCCGATCCCCAGAGGCTGAGGCGATTTTTTTTTCGAATTTCGCCTCATAATTTTTTTACTGAGGATTCTCGTTATTTGCCTATCGCGTGAAAGCACGTCCGCAACATCTATCAGCGTTCTGAGCCCTCTGTTTCTCCGTCGCCGCTCTTTTAACCTCGAGAATACCGTATCCGCTTCCCTCGCATGTAGACATCCTACTTAAACTTGTAACAGGAACCCGACTGCTTGTATTCGTTGCATATCTGTGGATCCTGAATTCGATGCCTCCATGCCATCATCGTTGGATTTGCAGTCATTCTCGTTCTGATGTGTTCACTCCCTTAATACTATCCGTCTACTTGCTCCCAAACTGCTGCTCTCCAGGATTTCGAGGAGCGGTATGAGCAGGGCCTACGTGGCGGCATCGCAGCCACGGATGGTACTTCTTCCACGTCCGACGTGGGAGCATCGACGACGGTGGACAGCACAGTTTCGACAGCCCGAAACCCTCAAGGCTCCAGGCAGCAAGCAGCGTCGCAGGGGCCGCAGGTCTGTCAACTCACCACGTTGAAGACACACTCAAAGAGGAAAAGAAACAGAAAAAAAAAGTAGTTTCAGTACAGCCAGTTCCAAGGAGCATCCCAGGGGCCGCAGGCTAGCCAGCTCAGTACGCTGCTGAAGACACTTTAAAGAAAAGAAAAAGTAATAAGAAGAAGAAAAACTCTTAGTAATATCACTACAGCTGGCAGCAAGCAGCATCACAGGGGCCGCAGGTCTGTCAACTCAGGACACTGAATACACGCTCAAAAGAAACAACAGACTAGGGTAATTTGAATGTAGCTGGCAACAAGGAGGCTCGCAGGGGTGGCAGGTCAGTCAGCCCGAATGCATGTTGTTTTTTCGTGTCCCCGCCTGTCCACATGCGTCTATTCCCATGCCATCATGCAACCGCTTTTCCCCTCCCCCATTTTCCCCCTCCCCCATTTTTCCCCTCCCCCATTTTTCCCCTCCCCCATTTTCCCCTCCCCCAGAATCCATCCCAGAAAGGAGGCCCCCCAGCCCTGCCCCGCCCTCTGCCAATGTTCCCGACAGTGGATGTGCGAGCGCTGGCAGAGGCGGTGAGGGGGGACATCACACCTGCTCCTTTCCCCTCCTTCCCCCCATGCAAATGCACACCGTGTATCTCCCTGACTCCTCTGCAGTCCCACTCACTCGCCTCACGAGAATCAGCGGCACGCAAGGCCCTGCCCATGCATCTGACGGTGGAGCTGAGGGAGCAGCTGGCGGAGGCGGTGGGGCGGGACATCACACCCAGTCCTTTCCCCTCTCCCCCCCCTGCAAATGCGGCCTTGTACCCCCCAGACTCATCTGCAGTCCCACTTACCTGCCTCACAAGAAGCCTCTGTGCGCAAGGCTCTGCCCATGTATCCAACAGTGGAGCTGAGGGAGCTGGCGGAGGCGGTGGGGCGGGACATCATGCGCGGCAATCCCGAGGTGACGTGGAGCAGTGTCAAGGGGCTGGGCGGCGCCAAACAGCTGCTCAAGGAGGCCGTCGTCATGCCCATCAAGTACCCGCAGTGAGTCATGCCCATCAAGTACCCGCAGTGAGTCATGCCCATCAAGTACCCGCAGTGTTGTGCTGTGTGCTGTGCTGTGTTGAGTTGAGTTGTGTCTGTGTGTGTTGCGCCTGTGAGTCGGTGTGGCTGCATGCACGGCGCCATGCAGCTGCTCAAGGAGGCCATGGTGATTTTCTGGCTCTCCCTCTCTCCCGCTCATCCACCACACAACGCTACCGCACAATACTGATCCGTACCGCTGCACACCTCTCTAACGCCATGCACTCTCTGCCTGCCACCCACTCCCTCCCTGCACCAGGTGCATCGCGAGCCTCCACACCCCTCGCACCACACCCCACTGCCCCACAGTATCGAACTGTACCGCACGCACACCATCCTTCCCCCATCCCTTCGTCCCCTCCGCATTCCCTGGCCTTGCACCAGTTACTTCACGGGTCTGCTCGCCCCATGAAAGAAAATCCTGCTTATTCAGCAAAACCTAGCACCACCTAGTATCGAATCGCACTGCACACCACCCTTAATTCGTCCCTTCTGCTTCCCCCTCCGTGCATCAGGTACTTCACGTCACGGGCCTGCTCGCCCCATGGAAGGGCGTTCTGCTCCTCCACCACACTACACCACCACACAGTGCTGAACCGTATCGCACGCCACCCTTTCCCCACCCCCTTCACCTGTCCCCACCTCCTACCTGCATCAGGTACTTCACGGGTCTGCTCGCCCCATGGAAGGGCATTCTGCTCTTTGGCCCTCCTGGAACAGGCAAGGTAAACAACCACTCTCCCTTACTTGCAACAACCACTCTTCTCTCTGTTCCCCTGCCATTATTCTCCTCTCCCTCTCCCTCGCCCTCTCCCTCTCCCTCTCCCTCCCTCCCCCCCACCTCACCCCAACACCCTAACTAACAACCCCCACTCCCCAACCCCAACACCCCCATACACGCACAGACAATGCTGGCCAAGGCGGTGGCTACAGAGTGCCGCACCACAAGGGGTGGTTAGAGAGGTTCAGCGCACCACAACCTCCGCATTGTGTTGCCTTGCCACGCCCATTCCGCCATCCCACTCCTCCTCACCCCCACACCCACACAGACAATGCTGGCCAAGGCGGTGGCAACGGAGTGTCGCACCACCTTCTTCAACGTCTCTGCCTCCACGCTTGTCAGCAAGTGGCGAGGTGAGCTTGAGTGAGCATGCAGGCGCGCTGCACCCTTTGGTTTATGTTGCCGTGTCGTGATGCCCGACTCTGATATCGTACAAAAGGACATCTCGCCGTTTTGAGACGTCCCAAAACACTTCTTCAAAAAACGCGCTGCACCCTTTGGTTTGTTTATGTTGCCGTGTCGTGATCCCATCCCTGAATCTGAGTTCGTACAAAAGGGCATCTCGCCGTTTTGAGACGTCTCAAAACACTTCTTCAAAAACGCGCTGCACCCTTTGGTTTGTTTATGTTGCCATGTCGTGATCCCATCCCTGACTCTGAGTTCTTACAAAAGGGCATCTCGCCGGGGCATGAGCTTCGATTCGATGCACGGCAGTGAGGAGCTTTGAGAAGCTGCAGGCGATTCAGAGGAGCTGGTGCGCATGCATGCTTTTCCACGAGGCGCGCGCCCTGGCGCCTCCCACCATATTCCCGGACGAGGTTGATGCCCTCACCAGCCACTGCTATGCCACCGACCCACCCACCAACCTCCTCGTCTTCCCACACCCCTTTGCATCTTTCCCCCCCACAGGCGACTCTGAGAAGCTGGTGAGAATGCTGTTGGATGTGGCGAGAGCGCTGGCCCCCTTCCACCATCTTTCTTGACGAGGTGGATGCCCTCATCAGCCACCGGGGGAAGCAGCTACCCACCCAGTTTCCCGTCTGTTCAACCCCCAACCCAACCCACCACCGCCTCCCTTACAGGTGATTCCGAGAAGCTGGTGCGGATGCTGTTTGACGTGGCACGCGCCCTGGCCCCCTCCACCATCTTTCTTGACGAGGTGGATGCCCTCATCAGCCACCGGGGGAAGCAGCTACCCACCCAGTTTCCCGTCTGTTCAACCCCCAACCCAACCCACCACCGCCTCCCCTACAGGTGATTCCGAGAAGCTGGTGCGGATGCTGTTTGACGTGGCACGCGCCCTGGCCCCCTCCACCATCTTTCTTGACGAGGTGGATGCCCTCATCAGCCACCGGGGGAAGCAGCTACCCACCCAGTTTCCTGTCTGTTCAACCCCCAACCCAACCCACCACCGCCTCCCCTACAGGTGATTCCGAGAAGCTGGTGCGGATGCTGTTTGACGTGGCACGCGCCCTGGCCCCCTCCACCATCTTTCTTGACGAGGTGGATGCCCTCATCAGCCACCGGGGGAAGCAAAGCAGCTACCCACCCAGTTTCCCGTCTGTTCAACCCCCAACCCAACCCCACCACCGCCTCCCCTACAGGTGATTCCGAGAAGCTGGTGCGGATGCTGTTTGACGTGGCACGCGCCCTGGCCCCCTCCACCATCTTCCTGGACGAGGTGGACGCTCTCATCAGCCACCGGGGAGGTGGGACAGGCGAGCACGAGGCCAGCAGGCGGCTCAAGACGGAGCTGCTTGTGCAGGTGGGAAGAGGGGGGGTTGGCGTTGACGGGGAGGAACATGATGGTATGACGGTATGAGGGTGTGAGGGCGAGCACAACGCCAGCAGACGCCTCAAGACGGAGCTGCTCAACGTGACTTTGCTCTCACACTCTCACTGCGGTGGGTCTCACTGGCCAGCATCCCCTTTCACCTGCCAGCACCGTTCTGAACCGTGCTGTGCGTGCAGATGGACGGGTTGAGCAGCCATCAGACCTGGTGTTTGTGTTGGCCGCCACCAACGTATCCGCACCTCTCTCACCTGCCTGCACCACTCTCAACCGTTGTTCTATCTGCAGATGGACGGGTTGAGCGGCTCGTCCGACCTGGTGTTTGTGCTGGCCGCCACCAACCTGCCGTGGGAGCTCGACACTGCCATGCTGCGCCGCCTCGAGAAGCGCGTGAGTCTGTCGGCATGACATTGCATGGTATGCATGCCGTGGCATGGCATGGTCATGTGCCACATGCCTGTGCAATGCTCCTGACAATTGCCGCCACCAACCTGCCGTGGGAGCTCGACACTGCCATGCTGCGCCGCCTCGAGAAGCGCGTGATTCTGTCGGCATGACATCGCATGGTATGCATGCCGTGGCATGGCATGGTCATGTGCCACATGGCTGTGCAATGCTCCTGACAATTGCCGCCTCCAACCTGCCGTGGGAGCTCGACAGTGCCATGCTGCGACGGCTGGAGAAGCGCGTGAGTTGAGTTGTACTTGCCACCGTGGCATGGCATGGCATGGCATGGCATGGCATGGCATGGCATGGCACAGCATCTCCCTCTCTGCTCTCTCCCCTCCTCCCATCCCACTCCCCTCACTTTTCATGTGCCCTCCCCACTTCCAAACCCCGGCGCCTCTACGAGACTCAGATGCCCTGCTGCTGCAGCCACTCTTAGAGTGGACTCTAAAGTCCTCGTACTCCAGAGTGGATCTAGTCCCCCCTTTCCCCACCAGATCCTAGTACCTCTACCAGACTCTGACGCCCGCAGAGCCATTCTCTCCTCGCTGCTGCCACGGCCGCACAAGGCTGCATGGACGGGCACTGGCCTGCACATACAGGCGCCCACCACGCACATACAGGCGCCCACCACGCACACAGATGCTCACAGCGTGGGGAACGATGGCAGTGCAGATGTGTGTAAGGATGGTTCCGCGGAAAACGAGGGTGGAGGAGCAACTGCCGGTCGTGAATGTGTGGGGGTGAAGTGGAGAGGGGCTAATGGGGTGGTGGCGGTGCAAGCTAATGGCTGCTCTGATATGCCTCAGAATGGGATGGGGCCACGGGGGATTGATTGCAGCTGGTGCGTGGTTGCTCAGTGCAAGGAAATTGAGGAGCATGGGATAGGGGACGGCGATGGGGGGTGTGGCGGAGAGAGGAGGAGAGATGATCAGGGCGTGAGGGAGGATGAGAACCAGAGGGAGGAAGCGGGGAGCAAGGAGGAAGGAGAGGGGGCAAGGGAAAAGGCGAGAAAGGAGGAAGGGAGGAGACGGGAGAAGCAATGGGAGGAGGAGGTCGACTTAGAGGGTGTGGTGGCGGCAACGGAAGGGTATTCAGGTGCTGACATGCGGCTGCTGTGCAAGGAGGCAAGCGAGGAGGCAAGCGAGGAGGAGTGGGAGAATGAGATTGGATTGGAAGGTGTGGTGGCGGCAACGGAGGGGTATTCAGGTGCTGACATGCGGCTGCTGTGCAAGGAAGCTGCCATGCGGCCCCTGCGCCGCCTCATGGTCCTTATTGATGGGGCGGAGAGGGTAGTAAAAGGGGAGAGTGGAGAGAGGGGGGAGAGGGGGGAGGAGGGGAAGATGGGGACTCGAGAGGAAGGGGAGATGGTGGATAGAGGGGCGACTGGGGAGCGGGGGGAGAGAGGGGAGAAATGGGAGAAGGAGGGTAGGGAGGAAGTGATGGAGGAGGTGGTGAAGGGGGCAGAGGGTAAGGGTAAGCAAGCGGAGAGGGCTGAGCCGGAGCATGTGCTTGTGCCTGTGCTTGGGCCGATCACGCGGGAAGACATGCAGATGGCGCTGCATGTGACCAAGGCGCTGGGCAGGGTGCATGCTGACAGGTACCTTGCTTTCGACCGGGAGTTCGGCAGCAGATACACGTGAAATGAAAGAATGATGTGTGTGTAGTGTATGTTTTGATAGGCTCCATAAGGAGCAATTGTATAAAATGATTTCATTCATGACTAAGATGTTAGGAAAACGATCCAGTAAAATGTGGCATTGTATATTTTTCCCCTTGATAGCTGTCATTGAATATCACCTAGTCGCATTCGTATAATGTGAATCTGAGAGTACTGGAACCGTATCATAGCTGCAACCAGAAATATTGTGCTACTTTATTGTTATTCCGTAAGGACAACCTTCAAAGCGTGTAGCGGGTTGGTTTCTCGAGCCTCCCTCAAGAATGGTCAAAGGAGGGAAGTTGGCCAGACAGGTTCCGCACCGCATTTCTCGCCGCATCTGCCGTCCAATGCGCATGGCTTCGCCTACTTGTCCCTCCCCTGCTTGCCACATTCCCCGCGCCACCAACCTCTCTCTCTCATCGTGCTCATCCTTCCGCGCGTCCACATTGGTGCCTGTTCCGCAATCCGCGGCACCGCGAATCCAACGACCGTCGCTGGCCGTTCGATGCGCATCTGACGGTGAGGATGGGGACGGAGGGGGCGGGAGCAAGTCGCGGCTGGGAAGCATCATCCGCCGGAAACACGCTACGGTGCAGGTGGGTGAGAGTCGGTGCAGGTGAGAGCATTGTTTGAAGAGACCGTTCGGTGCAGGTGAGACTCGGTGCAGGTGAGACTCGGTGCAAGTGAGACTCGGTGCAGGTGAGACTCGGTGCAGGTGAGACTCGGTGCAGGTGAGACTCGGTGCAGGTGAGACTCGTTCGAGGCGCCGTAAAACCCGTACAGATAAGAGTGAGTCGCCTAGGACTGCTAGCAATCGACAGCGCGCCTCAGCCTTGTTACCCCGTTCTCCCCTCCCCATCCATAATCCCCCCTTTCCCTCTCACCCTCCCCTCCCCTTCCTCCACCTCCCCTTCCCCGCGCGTCCGCGGTCCCGCAGGCGCGGCTGCAGCAGATGGGGCAGGACGAGGTGAATCGCCGCCTGGAGGGCGCAGTGCGTCTGCACCCGCCCGCACATCCGTACCCCGTTCCTTCCACCTTCCCCCCTTCCTCCGGCCGACCCCTCCCCTTTCCCACAGGCGCGGCTGCAGCAGATGGGGCAGGACGAGGTGAACCGCCGTCTGGAGGGCGCAGTGCGTCTGCACCCGCCCGCGCAGCTCACAGACCTGCTGCTGCGCGGGGCCCCGGGCGCGGAGGGCGGGGGCGGCCTGGAGGGGCCAGGGGGGGCGGATTGGGGGCGCACGACGCTGGTGGTGGAGGTGGCGCGCGCGCGCCCGTCCGAGTCCCCTGAGAGCCTTGCCAGGCGCTGCCAACAATACGTTGCTCTTGGTGCGTGGGAGCATGGGTGGACAGGGGGGATGGGGAGATTGGGGGCGCCCAGGGAACAGGGGGGATGGGGAATTTGGGGGCGGGGGGCAGGGGGTGACAGGGGGGATGGGGAATTTGGGGGCGGGGGCCGGGGGGCGACAGGGGGGATGGGGAGATAGGGGGCGCGGGAGGGCAGGGAAGCGCGCGGCGCTGGTGGTGGAGGTGGCTCGGGGCTCGCCCATCAGAGTCGACTGAGAGCCTTGCCAGGCGCTGCCCACAATACGTTGCTCTCGGTGCGTGTATGGGAGGGTGGATGAGGGGGTGGGTGGAGTTGGTGGGTGCGTGTGTGGATGGGTGGGTGGGTGGGTTGATGGGGAGGGTTGGTGGAATAAGTTAGTGCCACTCAATTTACAGTGAGTCCCTTGTCTTGTCTTTCAGATCAGAGTTGAATTCTCCCGCTTCCTTGTTCCACATCCCTCACACGAACACACTCATCACGTGTGTGTCCTTCTGCTGCTCTCCCCTCCCTCTCCCCATTCTCTTCCCTGCTTCAGGCCGCTCCCCTCCGGACCAGATTCCTTACCCTTCCCCCATCGTCCCCCCTCCCCTTTCAAGAGCGGGCACAATGATGGTTTGCTGGCCTTCGCTTAGAGTAGAAAGAGCCACCGCTCTCCCCTCTCCCACCCCTCTCCCTTCCCCCCCTCCTTCCCCTCCCACCGCTCTCCCTTCCCCCCCTCCTTCCCCTCTTCTCCCCTGCCGCTTCCCCAGGAGCGGACACGGTGATGGTGTGCTGTGATGAGGAGATTTCCCCTGATGGCCTTGCTGACGTCAGAGCTGTATCCAGAGGTGTGCTGCTGCTGCTAGTGTCCGATTTTTCCATGCAAAAAAAAAAAAAAAAAAAAAAAAAAAAAAAAAAAAGAGAAACACAAAATGCCATGCCTTTCATTTCCCCTTTCCTTTTTTCATTTTCCTATGCTTCTCATCTATTCATTCTTTCAAGTTTCCCCATTCCTCCCCACGGGTAAATGACATCCCAGTAACCGTTTTCACACTTCCTATGTCCGTCTACCCGTCTCCACTCCACTCCTCTTCTACGCCCACCAGCCCTCCCTGGAGTGCCAGTCATTGTAAAGGACTGGATGCTACATCCCATTCAGGTAGTCCTGCTACATCCCATTCAGGTGTTTATTACTGGAACCCATACCATCTGCCACAGTACCACCCACTTCTTCTTCATCTTGCTGTTCTCGGCACCAGATCTTCTCTTGAGAAAAAAGCAGCACTTTCCGTTGCACCTCCCATCTGATTCCCATGCCTCTGATTTTGTGAGTACATTGTTTACACACTGACTCTGTGTGTCTGCATGGCGGTGGGGATGTGTGTGTGCGGCTGGCTGCCTGAATGGGTGGAGGAACTGTGATTGTGTGCGCGATTTTGGGCGTGAGGGTGTTTGCATGTGCGGGTGAGTGAGGGAGTGAGAGCGTGTCTGTGTGAGTGAGTGAGTGAGTGAGTGAGGGCAGGTGGCAGAAGCAGCGGAGGCAGGGGCAGCAGCTTTTCATATAGTGCACGGGGTTCTCAATAAAGGTGACTCCCCACACCCGCCGCTCCACCTCACCACACCCTCTTCACCACCTTCCCACAGCCCCACAGAAGAACCTCTAAGACCTTTGAAGATCCTCAAAGATACTTTTAGATAATCCTTGGCAATGCTGCACTAAGCAGCTAGATGGTTCTCTTTGGCTTGCATGCTTAGCATTTTGACGGCCTCAATCCTGGCTGCCCAGAGCACCTAGCCGATACAGCCACGACCCACGATGACCCCCCTGGCTGTGATGCTTTGCCAGCCCGATGAAACCAGCTGCTGCTATCTTATCGCCTTGCCTGTTTGTACGCTCGTTTTTAGCGTGTTTGCGTGACTGCATGCGTACATTGTGCATGGATGCATGCATAGATGCGTGTGTGCATGTGTGTTGATGGTTGGACTGAACACATATGTATGCGGTGTCTGCATATGTGTGCATGTATGTCCATGTGTGTCCATGTGTGTCCATGTGTGTCCATGTGTGTCCATGTGTGTCCATGTGTGTCCATGTGTGTCCATGTGTGTCCATGTGTGTCCATGTGTGTCCATGTGTGTCCATGTGTGTCCATGTGTGTCCATGTGTGTCCATGTGTGTCCATGTGTGTCCATGTGTGTCCATGTGTGTCCATGTGTGTCCATGTGTGTCCATGTGTGTCCATGTGTGTCCATGTGTGTCCATGTGTGTCCATGTGTGTCCATGTGTGTCCATGTGTGTCCATGTGTGTCCATGTGTGTCCATGTGTGTCCATGTGTGTCCATGTGTGTCCATGTGTGTGTATGCATGTGTGTGCAGCCACGGCTCCAATGCTCGCCTTTGCCTTTGGACTGGGAGTTGACGTGGCAGTAGAGGTGAGTCAACGCAAGTCAAGCAGGTGAGTCAACGCAAGTCAAGGTGAGTCAACGCAAGTCAAGCAGGTGAGTCAATGCAGACAATCTCACAAAGTTGGGACCGTAAATGAACCATCGTCGATGCACAACAACATCGTCAAACCCATCAACCCCATCAGCATCATTTGCATCATCAGCATCATCAGCATCGTTTGCATCATCAAGAGCACCGTCACAACAGTGATAGCACCAGCCATGACCCCAACAGTCACCTCATGGTTTCCCTTCCACTCATACAATTCCCATCCCCATCCCCATCCCCATCCCCATCCCCATCCCCATCGCCATCTGCACCACCATCAACATCATCAGGTGGTGAATCTGGAGGAGCTGAAGCGACTGGAGCCGCTCGCCATTCCCCTCTATGGCCTCAACCTCTCTGTTGGGCTCGCTGTGAGTTCATTGACGGCTGGCAGGGTGTTCACTGACGGTTAGCAGTGAGTTGATAGACTGCTGGCAGTGTGGTCGCCGACTGTTAGCAGTGAGTTGATAGACGGCTAGCAGTGACAGTGAGTTTCAACCACCAAAGTTCCTTCTTCGGTCCGGCTACTCTTCGCAAATGCTACATTGGGCACTAGCACCGCTGTGCATCACCTCAAGGTGACTTTTGAGTCGACTCAAAAGTCACATTGGGCACCAGCACCGCTGCGCATCACCTCAATCTCTTTCCCAAATTATTTCATCCCCTACTCCCTCTCCCCGCTCCCCCCTTCCCTCTCCCCTATCCCCTATCCCCTATCCCCTATCCCCTATCCCCTATCCCCTATCCCCTATCCCCTATCCCCTATCCCCTATCCCCTATCCCCTATCCCCTATCCCCTATCCCCTATCCCCTATCCCCTGTCCACTCTCACTCCTCCTTATCGCCACTGAAATCAGCACTGGGTTGTCAGCATTGACACATGGTTGTCAGCATGGACACATGGTTGTCAGCATGGACACATGGTTGTCAGCATGGACGCAGGGATGCCATGTCAGCATGGGCGCAGGGATGCCATGTCAGCATGGGCGCAGGGATGTCATGTCAGCATGGACGCAGGGATGCTATGTGCAGCATGGTCACAAGTGTCGCATTGTCTTCCCTTTCCACATGGGTCTCCTCCCCCACATCCGACCCCTCCTCCCCCACAGGTGTCAGCACCCGGGTTCAGGCAGAGCGTAGCCAAGTCGTTGCTCTCCTCCATGCCTTGTGGAGCTTGCAGCGTGCCCTCTGTCTTCTCACCATATGCTATCTGTCGTCCCTCCCCTCATGGGTCTCCTCCCCCACATCTGTCCCCTCCTCCCCCACAGGTGTCAGCACCCGGGTTCAGGCAGAGCGTAGCCAGGTCGTTGCTCTCCTCCATGCCCTTTGGTGCTGCTGCTCTCGTTGTGAGTTGGTTACCATCTGCACAATGTAACCCTTTTCTTTGCTGGTAGAATGTGGTAGTTCTTAAAAGCTGCAGTACAGGTCAGTGCGTCTGTAATCACACGATGGATAGTGCACATCTCTCCATGGCTTCATGCATATATTCATGCATTCTTTCGTGGATGCACTAAGTCGTAACTTGCTTGCTGATGTGCTGGTTACATGGTAACCACACAGGGCGCCTCATCTGTGGAGGATGTGCGGATGATGAAGGCAGCAGGTGCGACAGCAATTGTGCTCAAAAGGGAGGTGTTTAAAGGGATGGAGGGCGGTGGCACGGGGTTGGGAGAGAAGGAGGAGGAGAAGGCCTTGCAAGTCCTGTTTGAGACGCTCAACTACATCTTGACTGGCGATGACTAATGTTGACTTCCGTTGACTGATGTTGGCTTGTATTGACGGATGTTGACCAGCATAAACCGACGCCTGGGAGAGAAGTCCTACTGTCCACTGGCAGTGTCCTGATATATTTTTATTGAGAATACCATGGGATGGGCAAACTGGTGAAGGATATTAAATACTTGCTTATAAATCTGGAATATCCAGAGAAAAGAGGAGAGGGTCTTGGAGGGTGCTCGGGGGTTTCCAAGTGCAGCAACTACCGTATTTGTTTCAGAGGTGGGTAATGAATGTACCGATGACAACACAGGGAAGAAAGGGAGCTTACTCTGTTGTGGAGAAAAACAAAGGATTGCTTGCTTTGTAACGCATGATTTCCTTGATGAGTTGTTTCCTAAGCTCCACGTCTGAGATGCCTTCGCGACTCGTCTGCTGTATATGACACCCTCGGTTCCGACTCTGCTGCTGCAATTGTCCCTTCTCCTGATGATGGTGATGACATTGCTGCTGCTGCTGCTGCTGCTGCTGCTTCTGAATGGTCTGTAAGCCAATGGAATACATTTCAGATACAACCAGCCCATGTGCTGCTGATTTTGTACCATTGACACCATGGCTTCCACATCCTAATCTCAAGCTTTCACAGTCTGTCAGTACTGACCCACCACCACCATCAGCAGCAACATCACCAGCAGCATCACCAGCAGCATCACCTGCAGCATCACCAGCAGCATCACCAGCAGCATCATCAGCAGCATCACCAGCAGTATCACCAGCAGCATCACCAGCAGCATCACCAGCAGCATCACCAGCAGCATCACCTGCAGCATCATCAGCAGCATCACCAGCGTCACTAGCGCCAGCAGCACAAGGAGCATCAACAGCAGCATCACCACCGGCGCCATCACTGGCATGAGCAGCAGGCGGCAGGTTAAGGTCAGGGACGGTGTAAGCCCGGCTTGTGTGTGGTGACACAGCCATCCATGGGCTTGTGTGTGGTGACACAGCCATCAATGGGCTTGTGTGTGGTGACACAGCCATCAATGGGCTTGTGTGTGGTGACACAGCCATCAATGGGCTTGTGTGTGGTGACACAGCCATCAATGGGCTTGACGACTGGGGAGTGAAGCAGCCGCTCCTTATTGCAACACCCTCACCTTCTGAAACACCCTCACCTGCTGCAACACCCCCACCTGCTGCAACACCCTCACCTGCTGCAACACCCTCACCTGCTGCAACACCCTCTCCTGCTGCAACACCCTCACCTGCTGGAACACCCTCTCCTGCTGCAACACCCTCACCTGCTGGAACACCCTCTCCTGCTGCAACACATGCCTCAACCATCTGCCTTGCACCATGATTGACCGGCTCAGGTGACTCAAATGGCCCTGAGAAGACCACAGTCAGGGGCTGCGGCATGGGCAAGGGCAGGGGCAGGCCGTGCGAGGGAAGCAGCGGCAGGGGCAGGGGCAGGGGCAGGGGCAGGGGCAGGGGCAGGGGCAGGGGCAGGGGCAGGGGCAGGGGCAGGGGCAGGGGCAGGCGCAGGGGCAGGGGCAGGGGCAGGGGCAGGGGCAGGGGCAGGGGCAGGGGCATGGGGCAGGGGCAGGGGCAGGGGCAGGGGCAGGGGCAGGGGCAGGGGCAGGGGCAGGGGCAGGGGCAGGGGCAGGGGCAAGCCTACTGAGAGCTTGGCATGGAAGTACGTCACCCAGGTGGGCCGGGGCGAGATACTGCTTGCACTGGTGGTGCCACCGCTGCTGCGGCAGTGAAGCTCCGGCAGGATTGTGCGTCCCTCCGGGCAGCCAGCCGCGGGGTGACTGGGTGTAGCAGCGATCTCTGACGGACTGCCGGCCGCCGAGCGCCTTGACTTGCCACTGCCACTAGAGCGTCCTGACTCTCCATCCATGGTGCGATGGCCAGCACCATCAGCAGCACCATCAGCAGCACCATCAGCAGCACCATCAGCAGCAGCATAGTGCTTCCGCTTCCTCACTAATGCCTCGTGCTCCTCCACATGCTCCACGCTGCCCTCCTGCTCCACGTGGCCCTCCTGCTCCACGTGGCCCTCCTGCTCCACGTGGCCCTCCTGCTCCACGTGGCCCTCCTGCTCCACGTGGCCCTCCTGCACCACCTTCCGACGGGCTTGCTGCGTCCACTCCACGGTCTCTCCTCCAGCCGCCATGCTCTGCCCCTCAACCACCTCCTTGTTGTGCTCTTGAACGACCTCCGTATGGTGCTCTCGCAGCAGGTGCTTCGCCCACGGGCTGCGTAACGCCATGCTCGCCACGAGCCTGCTTGCGATAAGCCTGCTCGCCACGAATTGCTGGCGCGCTCCATCACAGCCACGCCTCACAGCTCCGTGATCGTTTTTGAGAATTCTCATTCTCGAAGGTGACTCAGGATCAGCTCCGTGATGACGGCCCGTGCTGATGCTGGAGCCATCCGGACCATGATGCTCCCCATGCGGCTCAAGCAGCGAGATTGCGTGCTTGGCGTCGTGAGGAGGGGTCCATGCGGCAGCGGTAGTGGCGCCAGCCATGACCGGTGTATCCGTAGTGGGGCAACCAGCGTGTGCGCACGCTGCTCTTGAAAAAACAGGTTTCTCTTGAAAAGAAAGCAGGCTGCTTCTGACAAAGCGGGCCGGTATTGATATAACAAAGTCTTCTCCTGATAAGCAGGATGCTCCTGAAAAAACAGGCTGCTCCTGAAAAAACAGGCTGCTCCTGATAAGCAGGATGCTCCTGACCTGACCAGATCTGGCCTGACCAATGCTGTAGTGCTCTAGCAATAGTATATCGACTCACAGCTGACGTTGGACGGTTGATTTGACTTGCATCCTTCAACGGAACTTACTCCGCACACAGGTAATGATCGTACCGGTGCAGGTAATAGGAGATGTCTGGTAGAAGTGACGCCATCGATTCTGGTAAATGCTCGTTTACAGGAACCCATCTCGACCCCTGCTGAAGCGCTAATACCGGAAGAGAAGCAAAAGGGGCAGCATTACTTGGATGATTAGTCATGACTCAGCAACAGGCTGTTCGAATGATCGAATTGAGATATTGTCGAAATATCTAACCATCGGTTTCAAGGCAACTGGGAGGTGAGAATTCCCCAATCCTGCTTACTTACCCTTCACTCGACTCTTATCGTCACTATAACGGGGACCCTTATCGTCACAATAACGGGGGTAGATGTTACGGCGTACCTATTCCCAGGCATGGCCGCCTGGTACGGCAAACCTCAGCAATTATGAAAATGCAATGTATTGCGGATTTAGTCTGACGTCACAAGTCCAGTAACAGCGGAATGAAGACCGCCTTTTTTCTTCTCCTGGATTGCTCAGCCTGTCATCTCACGTGATGGCGGTGACGCGCGTCCGCTCTTAACTCCGCTTCTGTGTAGGCTACCCCAGGACGACTCACAACAAATAGGGTATGAATCATTCTGTGTAACGGATGTCAACATTGGGGCATGCGCTATCTTTCAAGCTCAAAGCAGGTTTGGCAGGCGTACTTAGGATGCGGTACTCCTGGAGAAACGGGGAAGTTACCTTGGATGCTGTAGAAATGTGTTAAGGCCTGCAGACTCAAATCTTGATCCGCCAGTGCCTTGTACCCACGGCTGACAGGGCTGGTGACAACCAGCGTTGGGGTGATGTGGGGAGTGGGGAACTCACTGCGAAAGGCGGTGAACCCTATGATTCTTCTGTGCCACGTGTATTGCAGAATCCTGGTTATAGGGGTTCCATCATTGGGCAGGAGAACCACGACACGGCATCATTCCCATCACCGCCTTTGTTTGAGAGCTGGGATGAGAGAGGTCAGAATTGGGAGCTGGGATGTGTACTTTCCCATTTCGGGTTTAGTCCTCGCTCAAGCACGTGGTGATGCATGTGCACATGTGCAAACCTGCTGGCAGATGTCAAGAAAGGATAGCAGTCACCCTCCATGCTCGGGAGCGTGCTGAGAGCAATCCCGAGGGCAATGTCAACTGACCTAGAAATTGCCACGAACGTGCCAGAGACCAAAAGTGTGCAAGAGACCCCAGCTCGATGATGTTCATTCGCTGCGTCAAGGTGAATCGAAATTCGTACTGCAACTGTACCGTAACTTCATTCCGATGTGGGAGGGCGCTCTGAAGGTCGCCAAACATCGGGCGGAATCTAGGGTTAGAGCAGAGCGGACACCTCACCGCCATCACGTGAAATTCCAGCAGGCTCATCAAGAGAAGTCGGTCTTTATTTGGCTATTTAGATATGTCAGAGCGAATCCGAATCTCCAAACTTAGTGCATTGATTCAGCATGTGTGTCCGACTATCCACTAGGGCTCTACCTCGGATTACTTCCCCCGTTATAGTCGCGGCATTCGCTCAATAGTAGGGGAGCAGGATCGGAAAAATCACATCTCCCCATGGCGAATTAGAACCTCTGCTGTGATATATATTTTTAAAACAATCTCAATCTTATTCGAGCAGTGATGGCGATTACTACGAGGAATGCTCCCGCGGTTCCTTGCCTTCAAGCGCCAGCGAGGAGTCGCCATCCCTCGACAACACTTCGAGGGATGTCGACATATCCTGACGGTCGGAACCCTCGATCCGAGGCTTGACATTTACCAGCATCCCTCGAAGCTTGTCGGGGGATGTCGATGTTCCCTGCAAACACGCTCTAAGCACAACATAGAGCGGCTTTTTCCAGTACCCACGCACTCATCCACAACAGACTCAATCTGTTGCCTTAATTACTAATACCACCAGCGCTCAGAATTCCAAGCCTAGCACTACTAGCTGCTTGGGGAAACAGTTCGACGCTCAGGGATTCAAGTTGAAACCGTCCGAGTGTGAGTCGATATTCTGCTCGTGCGCTGCCGGGGTCACGTCGTTTGATAGGAATTTCCAGCAACAGCCGGTTTGTTATCAGAAAAGGCCTGTTCTTTACAGTGTTGCGGAAAGCATGGCGCCGCGAAGCCCGTGGACGAAACAGCTGCTGCGAGAGCACTACGCGGAGATTGGAAGAGTTCCATTCAAGAGGACGCAGCAGCAGGCACGTGGGAAGGTGGGGCGAGAAGGCAAGCGTGTGCAGGAGCACGAGGCAGCTGCGGGGAAGCGGAAGCGCTATGATGCTGCTAATGACGACTGCCATGGCGGTCGCACCACGTCCCCAGATGCAGAGACAGGACGCTCCAGTGGCAGTGGCAAGTCAAGGCGGCGGCGCACAACAGCTGGACGTCCTCCAGAGGTCACTACCACGCCCAGACGGCCCGCAGCTACGAGCTGGAGCTGGCCAGAGGGACGTGCGCCCCTACCAGAGCCTCAGCTTCACTGCTGCAGTAGCCGTGGCGCCGCCAGTGCAAGCAGTATCTCTCCTCGGCCCAGCTGGGGGGCATACTTCCATGCCAAGCTCTCACACGGGCTGCCCCTGCCGCTGCAGCTGCTTCACTCTCAAGAACTGCCCCTGCCTCTGCCCCTGCCCCTGCTTCACACACACGTCCTGCCACACTCTCTGCCTCTGGCCTTCTCGAGGGCATTCGAGTCACCTGACGTGGTCAATCAAGGTGGTGAATGTGGAGCGGCGGGTGGGAGGCTGATGGTAGAGGCGAGTGTTGGAGCACGTTCAGCATCTGTGTCACCGTATGCGGTCCCCGCTGCTGACTTTGTTGTCCTTGACCTGAACCTCCCCCCTGCTGCTGATGATGCCAGTGCTCGCGCCACTGGTGGTGGCGCCAGTCGTGGTCTTGGTGGTGGTGATGGTGGTGATGCTAGTGGTGCTGGCCTAACAGCAGTCGCTGATTGTGGGCGCACTCAATCTGCATGTGAAAGCGATCGGCTGGATGGTTGCATCCGCGACGCATTATCAGCGTCTGGGTTGGTCACATTGTCAGCACGTTTGGGTGGATTTAAGGGCGCTGCCTTGAGCAGCGGCAGCAGCAAGTTGATTGGTTCGCAGCTTCAGATGCAGCAATAGGGTGAAACGGAGCTAAGGAAACCTTATCAAAGAGATTTTGATTCACAAATCAAGAGCTGCCTCTTTTATTTGTAACAGAGTAAAGGTGTTGACGATAGTATTCCACTTCTGTTGTTGGGGCTGCGTACCGTATCTGGAGGGCATGTCATTTATAATGGCCACCTGATCATCAGTGCCATGTTGACGAACGGCATTATAAACGTCCATGATGTTTGGCTGAGCGCCCTAGGATCTTTGGTAGAGTTAAAGTCTGAATAAACGATGTGGTAGCGGAAGCGTTTTAAGTAAAGTCCTTGAACCACCTTGCGCTGGTATGTGAGGGCAAAGTAAAGTTGATTAAAGCAAAGAGATACAAGCATATATATACCGTATTCTCCCGGACATAACACCCACCCCTAATAGTACACCCCCGGGTAGCTTGTGCGGGGTGGGTGCTATAACCGACCTCGTTTGTACTATACCCCCCTTTTGGGGTGATTCTCTATAAGACCCGGGGGGGGGGGTGTTATGGGTGGCACAATTGCATATTTGTCTTATATTTCACACTGTTAGGGGTGCAATCTAGTATTGAAACATAGCACCAGCACCTAGCATCTCATAAACAACAGAAACATCACAACTACGGTAGTTATGGCTTTGCACTACAATGCTTCTTCTGGTGCTATCTAGTCCTCATCGTCCCCTGCGACCCATTCCTCACACTCCTCTCCGTCATAGCGGTCGGCGCGCCACCACTCATCATCCTCGTCGTTGAACACTCCCGCCTCCTCGCCTTCTTCGGGCGTGTTCCACTCCTCCTCTTCCGCCGCCGCCGCCGCCTCCGCCGCCTCCTCCTCCTCTGCGGCTACATCCTCCTCTGCCGGCTGCAGCTCCTCGGCCGGCGCGGGGGCCTCGGCGTAGAAGGGGTTGACGACGAGCTCGTCGTCAACCAGCTCGTTTACGTCGTCAAGCACCTCCACCTCACCCTTGTCCCTCATATGGGCAAGGATGAGGTGGTCCTCGCTGCCATTGATGGCGGTGGAGATCCCGCAGGTGATAAACGCTTTCTTCACGAGATCCTCTGGGACAGCTTCCCAGGACTCGTCGATCCAGCGGAGAACCAAGTCCGCAGGCGGCTTCTTCAGGTTGCCTGTGGGAAGGGAAGGAGTTGAAAAGTCAAGAATGTGTACTTGCAGTGTGTGCGCTGATGCTAGAACGATGTTGCTCAAACGGAACTCAAGACTGCAACTCACCTGCGCGAGTGGTTTGGTTGATGCCGACATCTTCGAACCATGTGCTGTAGCGGGAACGCACCCCGCACTTGAACGCGCGG